AGGGGGAAGTTTTCAACTATTTTGGCATTTCCCAAAGTGATTTTCACAGCCCTCTGAGCTGAGAGGGTGCTCCAGGACAATTGGAAAAAGCACATCAAAGCTGGCGTAGATAGAGCTGCTGCCTCTTAGAACTTCACAAACGCACAAGAAAAGCTCTGAGAAATCCTGCAGAGAAGAACCCCGTCAGATGTTTAAGTTGGTGTTTCCCAAATTTATTTGACCGCGAACACCCTTTTCTACCCAATGTCAATTTAACATCCTCCTGGAAAAGCACTGATAGTCAAGGTCATTTCTAGCTCGTAGTTTCTGCCTCACAGGAAAGACAGAGCTTTTCTAAAATTCACCTCCACCTTTGAAAAGTCCCTTGTAGTTTTTCAAGCCCTTGCACACGCACCCATGGGAAAGCGCCAGCCGGTGCACATGCTCCCAGCCCTGCTCCAGGGGTCAGAGAGGGTGGGAGCAGGAAGGACCCTCAGGGACACCTGGTAAGGAGTGGCCAAGCTCCCTCCCACCCCCTGCAGCCGTCTGTGGCTCCCACAGAGCCGACGAAACACACAGAACACTGTCAGGACAGAAGGCAATGTCTTCCAGGAGGCTTCTAGAAAAGAGTTGCCAAAAAGAAGCCTTTGTGGGTTGAGCCAGCCGAGCCTCAGGCAAAGGGGGTGTGTGCAGGATCAGGGGTCCCCTGGTGCGTGCAGAGAGGGGCCTGCAGCCACCAGGCCCCATTAGCAGGGCCCGTGTCCCTCTCAAGGAGCCTCTCCCATCGTCCTGTAAATGTTTCAGCGATCCCAACATTTGGCAACAAAAGTACATCTCCCAGCCTGCTGCGTGAACGCGGGAGAAGTGCCAAAGTTTGTCTCTAGGCCCTGTGGAGTTTGGAAAATAAGATTAATCAGCTAGTCAATGGAGGAGAATGACATTTACCAAGCATCTACTATATAGCCTGCGTTGTGGCAGAAGCCCTATCTTTATGAGGAGATTGTGATTCTGGTAACAGCCCCATTTTACAAATGGGGAAACTGAGGCTCACCGTGGTGCATTAACATGCCCAGGGATGCGGCAGAGCCGGGATTCAAACCCAAGCCTGGTTTCGCCTCCCCAGCCCCAGCACTTCCCCACTCCACTGAGCCTTCTGCGGCGGCCTGGCTGACGTGGACAACAAATGCTCCAAGGCCACCCTGTGTGTGCTCCCCAGGCCCCCTTCTTGTCACTAGAGGAAGGGATTCTTCTCTGCAGGGTTTCTCAGGGCACAGGCCATGAAAAAGGGGTCATACGGAAGGCTAATGTAGCCTGGCCCCAAATGGCCTGGCCCACATTGCAGATGAAACTGGCCTTGGGGTTTGTCTCCATGTTCTGGGAATCCGGCTGTTTCTGCCCCCTTAATCTGATCATCCTTGGGGGAGTTTGGGGGAAGAGGCAGATAAATCAGTTTTCTGAGCCTGCTGAGCTGAGCGCCAGCCCATCAGCCTGAGGTGGCCTTGCCAATGCAAAGACCTCTCCGGAAACCCAGCCTGAGCCGGCACCTGGGCTGGGCCGCTTATTCCTGTGTGATTCCTGCCTGCTCCTGACAGCAGCTTCCTTGCCTGTGTCCTGCTCCACCCGCCCACCTGCCTTGCAGGGGCCTGGCACTCATCCTGGGGGTGGAGGTTAAGGACTGGGCCCATCACCTTTGGAAAACACCTTTGGAAACCCCTTTCCCTCTTCTGACTCTGAAGAATTCCTGGCTCAGTGGCATGGCTGTTAGCTGGGTAGGAGGTCAAGGCAGAGGCGAGGTTCCATCCATCCCTCTCCTGGGAAGGCCCCTCACTGCTCTGTCTGCATAGCCAAAGGGAAGGAAAGCCCCACCGTGAGCTTTGGGCCCCCCTGAAACATCCACCTGGCAGCACCTCCTTCCTGCCCATCACGGGAAGTGGCCGTGGGAGAGGGCCAGTTCCGAGCACTGCTCTGCACTGGAGGCCGCTCCCACTTCCCTAGCTCATCCTTAAGCCAAGACAGAGGCTGGAAAGGCAGTGATTTGCCCACAGCCAGGCACCTACGTAGTGATGGGCATCATTCGGGTCGGGCTAACTCTGAATTTGGGGGGCTCCTTTCTCCTAGTACAGTGCAGTGGTCGCGGGTGTGGGCTCTGGAACGAGACTGCAAGTCCTGGCTCCTCCGCCTCCTTACTGAGTCGCCTGGGGCTGTTGCTCAGCTTCTCCATGCCTTAGTTTTCTCATCTATATACCGCTGCCAGAGAGTCCCTGAGTCTAAACCCTGTGTCAGCTGTGTGACCTTGGGCGAGTGACTTCACCTGTCTGGGCCTCCATTTACTCCAATTTAAAATGGAGCTTGAGACACACACGGCAGGGTTGGCAGAGGATTGAAAGAGACAACAGTGTGCCAAGGGCTCTCCAGCAGGCAGTGCCTGGCAGGCCCGGGGCCCGCTGAGTGTTCACCAGCGTTGCAGTCAAGGTGCTGCTATTCAGACTCACTCCAGAAGGATGCACGGGAAACAGGTCCCAGAGGGCATCTCTGGGGAGGAAAAGTGGATGGCAGGGGACCAAACTTGCCCCTATATGTTATGTGGTACCTTCAGAATTTTGTATGACATACGTGTAGTGTTCCCACTACTGAAGTTGGTTACGTAACTTGTACAAAGATGCTCTCTTGCCCTGACACAGGGTCCCATGCTGGCCAGAGACCCCCACCTCATGGGTGTCCCTGCTCCCAGCTTGGCCCACCTGTTTGTAGCCACGCCCAGGCCTTTGTCCTGGCCCTGCCTTTCAGCCCACTCCCTGTCTTTGTTTTTTAAATGATTTTACTTATTTATTTTTAGAGAGAGGGGAAGGGAGGAACAAAGAGAGAGAGAGAAACATCGATTAGTTGCCTCTCGCAAGTGACCCAGCTGGGGACCAGGCCACAGCCCAGGCACGTGCTCCAACCCGGGAATCCAACCCGCGACTTTTTGCTTTTCAGGGCGACGCCCCACTGACTGAGCCACGCGGGCCAGGGCAGCCCACTCGCTGTCTGGCAGCAAAGCCCCAGTGCAGCCTCAAGGTCCCCGAGGTCTCTCCTTCCAAGCACAGGCCTATCACTTTCCAGGGGACAAGGGCTGATGGCTGCTCCTCTACCATCTCGCCGGTAGTGAGATGATGGTACCTCCCCCGCAGAGTAACTGTAAGAACTTAGACAAGGTACGAATCCGTGGAAAGTGCTAGACACACTTTCCGGCCCAGAGTCTCCCTCCTCTTTCCTGTCCTTTGAAAGGACAAAGATGTTGAAAGAGAGCTGCCTACCTCTCGAGCTCATCTGTAGCCGCGAGCCCCCCTCTCCCCGCCGGCCGCCGTGGACCTCACACCTCCTCAGCCAGCCCCTGCCTCCTCGCGCTTGCTTGTCCTTCCTGCTGTCAGGCCCTTCCCTGACGTCCCTCAGGCTGGCCCCCTCCCATCACTCAGTTCCTCACCAGCGGTGCCCCTCAGAGAGGCCCCCCTAGGCCACGCTGTCACAATGGCCCCACACCCTCTTCTCTCTCTTGCCCATTTATTTTCTTCATGGTCTGTACCATTACCCGAAATTGGAATTTTTTTAATAAACTTTTTTGTGGGAATAATTTTAAATTCACAGAAAAGTTGCAAAGAGCGTTCCTATATATGCTTCATCCAGTTTTCCTAATGCCCATGACCTAACCCTGGTACTTTTGTCAAGAACAAGACATAAATGCTGGCACATTACCATTAACTAAACTGCCGATGTCCTTCAGATGAAATTGCATTTTTCCTTTCTTTGCTTACTTGTTTTCAGCTGCTTCCCCCACTGGAAGGAAAACTCTGAAAAGCAGGAGGTTACCTCTCTTACCACCAGCTCCCTCGTACCTGGCAGTAAATGGTGATGGGTAAAAGGAGGGAAAATGTGGCAAAAACAGCTAATGATTATGGAGGACTCCCTCTGCCAGGCACTGTTCTGAGTGCATCAAACATTGCAAATCGTTCATTCCTCGTGAGAACTCATGAGGTAGCTACTAATTGTGGGGAAACTGAGGCACAGCACAGTTTGATAGCTGTGCCAGTGTGGATGAGCTCTAGAACCTGCCTCAGGTACCAGGATAAATGCTGGCCCTTGCACATGCTTAGTCCGCGTCAGAGCAGGGGGGTTAGCACACCGCTCTGGCCAGGACACTGAGCTCCCAGTGCGGCGGATTCGCCTGAAGCCGCAGGATAGAACTGAGCACAGGGCTGGGATGGAACCTGAGCTTCCTGCCTCCAGCTGGCTGCCACAGGCGGCGGCTGCCCGGAAGGGTGTGAGGCCTCTCCCAGGGCCACCAACCCCGCCCCACTTCAGGAAACAGAGAGCAGCTAATTCAGTCACAGGCAAGGGCTCACTCCTGCGCCCCTGACTCCCCGGGGCCCTGCAGACAAAGACGTGGGCTGAAGGGCTGAGACCCCCACCATCTCCCTTAGCCTGGGGCCTGGGCCTGGGCCTCCAGGATCTGGTCACTGGAGGAGGCAGGTTTGGGGGATGGGCTCTCTCCATCCCAGAGGACGCAGCCTTCTCAGGGGTCCCTGCTGGTCTCTGGGACAGAAGCGCGGAAGGAGAAATGGTTGTTCCTTTCTGGATGGGGGCAACATGGAAGATTACTGTCTTTTCCCAACACCCTGGGACCAGCTGGAGAGATGTCCCAACACCTCCCACAGGGAAAAGCCATTCTGGAGCAGTCGGACAGGACTGAGACCAGACGCCGGACAGGACTGAGACCAGACGCCGCTGTCCAGCCTGGGTTCTGCCCAGCGCCAGCCCGGTGCAGACTGGAGGCCCTAACAATGTTTGCTGGATGCCTTGAATGCAAGCATCGGTGCCCAGAATCTCCTTGAGGTTTCAGCCAGGCGTGCCTGCCCCATCCCCCAATCTAGGGAGCAGAATAAGTATGGGGGGGTGACAGGGGACACCACGAGGTGGTAGCAGCATCCGTGAGAGAGGCAGGCTGCTCAACCCAGAGCTGGGGGGTAGGGGCGCCTTGTGCGCGGCTAATTAAACAGTGACTGTGATGAATCGGGAGAGGCTGCTGCTTGCTAATTAAAGATGCAGGCGTCTTGCCTGGCAAGTATGGGAGGCAGGAGCAGCCCTGGAACCATGTCGAGGGGCCAGGCCAGCAAGGCCAGTGCTTGGCGAAAGCCCCCCACCATGCTGGCTCTGGGCATGCCTTCCATCCTCAGGCCCTCCCCGCAGGGCCCCAGGGCCCCCTCCCCACTTCCCTATCTCTTCTACCCACCTTGCAGAGCCTGAGGCCTCGGACTTCCCCCTCCCCACCAACCTAAATTGTTTTCCTGATAAGGGCCCGGTCTTGGGGAGGAGGGGCCTATTGGTGCCCAGTGCCTGGGCTGGAGGGTGGGCATCATTTAGAGCCTTTGACATACTTCCTCCCACCCCCACTCCCTGGACCCCAAATTGGACAATGAACCCCACCAAGATGGAGGCCGGCCGTGGGAATGAGGCCCCAAGACAACTTTTAGAACCGTAGATTCTGAGACGCTTGGGGGCTTTAGGAGTCACCCCTTTTTCCTGCCGTCACTTGATGCGAGTCAGGGTCCTGCTTTGCCCCAGATGCCCTGGTGTGTGAGACAGACAGAGACAGAGAGACTGTGCTCTTTCTGGCGTCGGCACTCCAGTCTGGAAAAGGCGAGCTTACAGCGAATGCTCTCTGCCTCCTGGGGGTCCCTGCATAGTGGACAGAAAGACTCCAGAACTGCCTGTCTCTGCCCTGCACCAGCTCAAATGTCTCAATGGCTAAAAGCATGGCCTCCAGGGACCAGACACCTGTGTACAAGTCCCAGCCCCAACGTTTGCCAGCTGTGTGACCGCAGCACAGTAGCTAATTACTCTGTGCCTCGGTTTCCCCATCTGCAAAGCTGGGGACAATAATTCTGCTTATTCAAATTCTCACCAAGGAGATCAGGGGAGATAATCTAGGTGAGGTCTCAGCACAGTGTCTGGTCCATAGAACAAGCCAGGAAGTGCTGGCCATTGTAGTCTGACGACGTGGGACACTTGGGCAGGCACAGCCCACCACCCACCTCTCCTCCAGGTGCCCTCCTGGCCGCAAGTCCAGCCCTCTGACCCGACGCAGGGAGAGCACGTCATCTTTCATGTAAGGGTTCCCACAACCTCCCAGACGCCGGCAACCTTTTGAGGGAAGCAGAATAGCAAAGAAGAAAACAAAGTGGATGCTCAGAGAGGGTAAGTGACTGGCCCGAAGTCATACAGCTGAGTAAGGGACAGAGGCAGCCCTGGGACTCGAGTGGGAGGAGAGGATGGGATTGGTGGTGTTCCCATGGTGACAGCTGTGGACTTCCTACCGACTCCCGGTCCTGCACCAGCCACCATCGAAGGAACTAAGGAGACTGTGAGACGCCCTTTGCCTCCCAGGGAACCCGGCCTGGAAGGGGAGAGAAAACACACACACGAGGAATGAGAATGCACAGCCAGTTCAGCGGGCAAGGCAACCCTCTGAGCAGAGGCCTGGGAGATGCCACTTTGTCTTGGAGTTCGAATTGTAAAGCAAAAATTCTGCTTCTCTTTGGAGGGTAAAATCAGCCTTGGGGGAGCCTGGAGGGAGCTGATGGAGCCCTTCACAAAGCGGTCGGACGCTCTGCACTGGTAAGTGCCGGGGGGGTCCCAGTTGTCAATGGTGCCTGCTTCTGTGATTCTGGCCTCTGTCCCATGAGGTACCCAGCGATCTGGGACTCTATGGTTTCAGAGATGGCACTGTCCAGGAACCCCAGCCAGAATCCATCCACATCTGAAATGGGTTGTGATGTGCCTTTTCCAGGATACCAGACAACGACCGGGATGGGGGCTTTCTACCGCTGGACACTGCAGTGGGGAAAGGAGTCAGTGCCTGCGGGAGGCCTGGAGACAGCAGGAATCTTTCGAGGCTGAGAAACTCAAGGCTGTTGGCCCTGACACTGAGATATTTGGCCTGAGGCAGCCAACCCAAAGCAGGCAGGGATGAGTGCCAGGTAGTCGGTATCCGGAGCAATGTCTCCATTCATCCCCTTAGCGATCAGTGCTCAGCCAGAGGGCCTGGACAGGTCTAGCCACAAGAAGCCCATGCAAGCAAAAACTAGTGGCTCCTGGAAAACACGCCCTGCCTCTCAGCCTCCCCAGGGCCCCTGGGCTGCCAGCAGGGCCAATTGGTAGTCTCGGGCGCCCTCTGGTGGTCACTATGGGCAGTGGCAGAAGCAGCTGTGGGGTTAAAGTGGGTGGTGAAAATTAGAGGGCTTCAAAATGTACAATACCACCACTCCCACTGCACAGATGGGAAAACGGAGGCCCAGAGTCATACAGGAAGTCAGTGGCCAAGCCCAGAACAGAGCCCAGAACAGAACCCATACCCCTCTCTGTACTGGTGGCTGCTCTTGGTGGGGGTCTCAAGGCATCCCCACCAGAGGAGGGAAGGGTGAGTGTTCAGAAGGCTCACTGCCCAGTGACTATGAACAGCTGGATGGTACCTGGATGGAAGGCGGCTGATCAGCTGTATGATGAGCCATACTGCACTTCCCCTTTCTGGCCCTGGGTTTCTCACCTCTAAAATTTGGGGCTACCGTGTTGCAAGCGGTAAGAGGACAGGGGTCCTTCTCATATGCAGTTAGCAGGGAAGCTGTAACCAGCCAACCTTTCAGGAAATACAAAAACAAGTCTTCTATAGTAGCAGCATATCTAATGATGAAAGACTGAATGTGTTCCTCCTGAGATCAGGAACAAAACAAGGATGTCTGCTCTTGGCCACTTCTATTCAACATTAGTACTGGAAGTTCCAACCAGGGCACCCAGGCTGGAAAAAGAAGGGATCCAAATTGCAAAGGAAGAAGAAATCCTAAAGAATCTAATGTGTGTGTGCGTATGCATATATGAATTAATAAATGAGTTTTCGGCAAGGTTGCAAAATACAAGAGGAACATACAAAAAAGTTAATTGTATTTCTATACACTTGCAATGAACAGTTCAAAATATTAATAAAATAATTCCATTTACACTAGCATCAAAAAGAATACTTAGGGCCCTGACCAGTGTGGCTCAACTGGGCATTATCCCGCAAAGCAAAAGGTCGCCGATTAGATTCCCAGGTCAGGACACATGCTTGGGTTGCGGGTTCAGTCCCCAGTCGGGGTACATGTGAAAGGCAACCAACTGATGTTTCTCACGTTAATGTTTCTCCCTGTCTTTCTCCCTCACTTCCCTCTCTAAAAATAAATAAATAAAGTATTTTTTAAAAGAATGCTTAGGGATAAACTTAACCTAAAAAAAGTATGAAACTTGTACTCTGAAAAGTATGAAATATTGTTGAAATCAATTAAAACCTATATAAATGTAAAAACAGCTTCATGTCCATGGGTCTATTAAGATGACAAGACTTTCCAAATTGAGCTTCAGATTCAACACAAGCTCTATCAAAATTCCAACCTGCTTCTTTGCAGAAGTTGACAAGCTGATCATAAAATTTATATGGAAATTCAAGTGACTCTCAACAGCCAAAACAATATTGAGAAAAGAAGAAGAATGGAAGGCCCACATTTCTGATTTCAAAACATTCTACAAAGCCACAGTAATCAGAACAATGTGGTATTGATATAAAGATAGACTTATAAATTAATGGGATAAAATTCAGAGTCCAAAAATAAACCCTCAGATTTATGTCAATGATTTTCAGAAAGGGCGCCAAGACAATTCAATGAGGAAAGGACAATCTTTTCAACAAATGGTGCAGAAACAATTGGTCGTACACACACAAAAGAAGGAAGCAGGACTTCTTCCTCACACCCTACGCAAACATTAATGCAGAATAGATAACAGATCTAAATGTAACAGTTAAAATTATAAAACTCTTAGAAGAAAAGATAGGCATAAATCTTCATGACCTAAGAGTAAGCATTAGAGTTAGTTTTTTAAATATGACACCAAAAACATACCAATGAAAGGAAAAAGGATAGATAAATTAGACATCATTAAAGTTTTTTATTTTAGGGATAAATTTAACCAGAGAGAGAGAGAGAGAAATGGACCCAGATCCATTGGCTGGGTAGCTCAGTTGGTGAGAGCATGGTCCAATATGCCAAGGTTGCGGGTTCAGTCTCAGTCAGGGCATATACAAGAATCAACCAATGATACCCTGGCTGGTGTGGCTCAGTTGGTTGGAGCATTATCCTATAAACTGAAAAGTCTAGAGTTTGACTCAGGGCACATGCCTGAGTTGCAGGTTTGGTCCCAGTCAGGGTGTGTGTGATAGGCAATCAATCGAAGTAAGCATGTCCTCAGGTGACGATTTTAAAAAATAAAATAAAAGAATCAACCAATGAATGTGTAAATAAGAGAAATAACAAATCTCTCTCTCTCTCTCAAATAAAAAATAGTCCATAAATAAATAAATGTATATATAGATTAAAAGGGACTTAAAAGATTTTCCTAGCCCAATTAGTTAAGAGCATTGTCCTGATAGACCAAGGTTGTGTGTTCAGTCCTGGTCAGGGCACATACAAGAAGCAACCAATAAATGGACAAATAAGTGGGACAACAAATCAACGTTCACTCTCTCTCCCTCTGTCTCTCCGTCCCTCTCCCCAAGATCAATGAAAAAAAACTTAATTTTTTTAAAAAAGGCTATTTTAAGACAAAATTATAGCCTCTAGGGGTGCACATTTGATTGATAAGCAATAAAGTGATTATCTTACAAGTCAGAGTAATGGTAACATTTTGGGAGGAGGGGGGAGATGGGGCGCGCTGAGGGCTTCTGGGGCGGCTGTCAGAGTTCTTCACCCGGGCACTGGTTACAAGAGTGTTTGCCTTACAATAATTCATCAAGTGAATTATTATTTTATATGGTCTTTTTGTATGTGTCATATTTTATAATAGAAAGGTTTTTAAAAATAGAGTATACTCATTTCGGTTTTTAAAAATCAAGTGTTGCAAGATTCCATTCTTGTATGAAATGTCCAGTTCATCCAAAGGTTAACTAAAATTACATCTCTATATGTATAGGCACAAAAACACCTGGAAGTCTGGGATTTGGGGTGCTCTTAATGTACATTTTTCTGAACTTTCAAATTATTTTTCTACAATGAATAAGAATTACTTTTGTCGCCAGAAAAAAGGATAAAGCTGTTTGCTGTGTCTCGGGGGCTCCCTTGGAGGTCTGACATGTGTGAGCAGAAGGGTGGACCGCGAGCAGCTGGAGCAGCGGGGAGATGGCGCAGGGGCATGTTTGGAGAAGATCAAGGTTCACTGCCTGCTCAGCCCCCCAGGGTCTGTGAAGACCCCAAGGCCCAACCCCCATCGTGGCTTCCTGGAGACTCCGCCCCTTTCAGGTTGTCGGCGGCAGCTGCCGCAGAGCGGTCCCGCCGGCCCTTGTGCTCCAAAGATGCTAGAAATGCAATTCTGGCCTGGCGAGCCCGGTGGGGGTCACTCTGCTCCCATCTGCACTAGCCTCTGTCCTGAGCAAGGAGGAGACCCCCTAGGCAGGGGGTGGGTAGGAGTGGGAGCAGATTCTCATCCTGGCTGGCTTTGCTACAACCAGCAAAAACACCCATAATAATAGTTAAATGAGTGCTTTCTACATGCCCGGCACTCAAGCTACGTGGATTACATGGTTTGATTTCCTGAGTTCTCCCGATGGCCTGAGGGATGGGTGGGATCATCATCTTCCTACTACAGATGGGCAAACGGAGGTCCCAAAAGCAGAGGTGCCTGAAGCAGTCGCTAACTCTGAGACCGCACTTGGCCAAACTCCTCCTGTGGCTTCAGTGGAGCCTCCCAGGAAACCAAAAGGGTGGTTGCCACATTTTGCAGATGAGAACACTGAGGCTTAGAGAGGAAAGTCACTTGTCCACATCCCACAGCTGCCACGTGTCAGGGCCAGGGAGCCTCCCCTGGGCTACAAGGGGCCCAGGGCACACCCCCCACCTCTGTGGGCTGCCTTAGTCATGGTAATAGAGTTATTGTACTACAACCTTGGGAGGACATGTGATAGTGGCCAAAGTGCCTTCCTGTGGACGATAGCCTTTGCTCCTCTCATCAGGCCTGTAAATCTTCAGTTTGATTGTATTTCCTCAATTTTAAAGTCTGGAGGCCCAGGGAATTGAGCAGCAGGCTACA